TCTGGCCGAGGGCCACCGCCGCGCCCCTCTCGGGCCCCGCCCCGCTGACGCTGGCCCTCGTGTTCGCGGCGCTCCGGGGCGCCGCGCCGCGCGAGGGCGTGCGGAGGCTGGAGTACCGCAACGTGGGGCCGCTGTACTGCGGCGAGCGGCTCCGGGTGTGCGTCCGCGAGAAGGAGGCCGGTTCGAGGTCGGGGGCCGCGGACGAGAGGAGGTGGGATGTGTGGGTGGAGGGGCCGGCGGGCGGCATGGCTGTCAAGGGAACGGCGGTGACGGGGGCATTTTAATGCTATCTTTCCGACGATGTCTTTCTGACGAGGCGGGTAGACACGGTAGCGGGCGTTTCTTTGGCACCATGGTACTCCACAGGCAGGTCGACAGACAGACACACCGTTCGATGTCTCGTAGGAGGGCTCGCCGCAGGGTCAGATAGCCTGTATGGAATGCAGGTCGCTCTCTTTGACCCCACAGATCTGATCCGTGGGTTCCGATTTGATGGCATGAACGTTTGCCTGCACCGGGAGCGGGGTTTCGGGTTGTTGAGGTAAGGTTTCGGGTTCCCAGAGAGCCCGACAGTAGCAAGGTTCGACATCTTGGTGGCATGATTAGACTCTAGGGCAATATTTGAACACGGTCTCTGAGACCGCCAAGGTTCTCGTGGCCGTGGCCCGTTGGATCTTGTTCTTTTTGGGTGGCTATCATCACCGGATATACTTGAGAAGCTCGAGCACACATGTCAATCTGGAAAGAAGATAGGTCTTCGGAGACCTGTATGTGTTGGTGATGAAGGTTAAGGTAGCAGGCGGGCGGGTCGTGCGATGGCTCTTGCGTTCATGCTTCGGCGAACTATTTGGGGAAGCCGCGGGAACCATGCTCAGAAGAGCCACAGTAGAAGCAACATCTCGGAGCCTCATCAGACGGATGCATGTTGCCGTTCTCGCCGAGCCTGGCCTGGTTGGACATGCACCGATAAAGTTGCCGCAGGGGCGAGATGCTTACTGGCATCTATGAGGTCTGTGGCTGGAACATGGGGCTCTGTGATGGGAACTGAGCCGTGGCTTGTGTGCCAGGTCGAGTGCACCATCTGGGTGTAGAGAGGGGTCTGCGAATAGTGCTATGGAAGTACGCAGACGAAGCAGACATTTCCAACATGGACATCCAGACGCTTTGCTCGTTCATCCTCATCCGAACATGGGGCACATGCATTGGGGCATCACTGAGATAAGAGCATCTCGCAGTGGGAGGTTGCATCATGTGTGTGTGCGGCCAGCGGCGTCCAATGGAAAGCATCGGTGGTAGCGAATTAGGGTCTCGTCACTAGCTCCATTCCATCAACTGTACCATGCACCCATTCCTCGGTCAGTGCTACCAACAATGTCATCATGCCAACCCCAGGATGGACTGGTGAATGGAGATCAGGAAGGCGCCTCAGAACCGGCCATGATTAATCTCTATGTTATCGCACTTGACGAGATCTGTGGAGCAGCCAAACATGCTGCCAGATTGCAGTGTTTCGCGCTCTTGGCCTTGTGCGTGCCCCCGGGCAGTAGACCCTGCCTTGGTTACAAGACAGGAAACGGCACCGGTCGAGAAGCCCCACTAGACAGTCTCTTCCAGGGGCGCCCACCAACCCCCGAAACGACCTACGAATAGGGGCTCGAGGCCCATCTTCCGGGCAGTGCTCAGGGGGTGATGAAGGCGGGGCGGGGGATGTGGGCGCCATCGTAATTTGGAGCCGACGGGTGGGTTGCTGTCTAGGTACCGCACCTACCTAGGTACCTACCTTGCCTTCCTACCTCTAGGTACCCAGGGCACATGTAGATAGGTACCTAGGTAGGTGCAGCCCCAGCCCATGCAGCGCCGGGGGGCACAGCACAGCACTCCATTTCGTTGAGTTCGAGTCGAGGCGGTCAAAACTGGAACTAGGGTCGGACGAGAAGGACCTCCCCTCCCACCAGCCGGAACCCCCCCTCCCCTTTCATGTGTCTCCACGAAACAACCTCTCCCACTGCACATTTTTTGCCAGTGAGGACCTCCTCGACAGCAACATCACTTTTGCCGTCCCTTTCCATTGCCAATTGAGGCCTTTACCCCCCCTCATACGGCTCGCCCATCATGTCGAAGCCCACAGGCGTCGAGAGCTTCGAGTTCGTCCAGACGCCTCCTGCTCCCCAGCCCACCTTTGAAAAGGAGGAAGAGGAA